TGAAGCAGAAGTAGATATTTTTCTGGAACTCTCTGGCTTTCTCTATAATCCAGCGCATGTTTGCAATTTGGTCTCGAGTTCCTCTGCCCCTTCGGAATCCAGCTTGTACTTCTGGAAGTTCTCAGTCCACATACTGTTGAAGCCTACCTTGTAGGATTTTGAGCATAACCTTGCTAGAGTGTGAAATGAGTGCAATTGTCCGGTAGTTGGAGCATTCTTTGGCACTGCCCTTCTTTCGGATTGGGATGTAGACTGATCTTTTCCAGTCTTCTGGCCAGTGTTGAGAATTTTGGCCAGTCTCTGTCATATCGGAAGCTTGTGAGTTCTTGTTAGGTAGAGATTAGGCATCTATTTATTTGGTAGACTCTATCCTAAAAAGCCTGTGGATAATTAAGATAATAGCAATGGGTGGGGAAATCAGTAGCCCGAATTCAGTAATATTACTTCATAATTAAAATGTTAGCATATTTTGCCACTGAATTGCGAGGTTTGATACTTTTCAGGCAACACATCTTGAGAATTTTAAGTGACCACAAGGCAGTGGTTAAAGTGGAGATCTGTGCCATGCTCAGGGTGGAAGTTGAAAACAAGTAGCTTAGGCTTTCACTGCACAAGGTGTCTGTTTTTGTGTTCTGCAGATTTTTTCCCTGGAAGGTCTAATTATTGTAAATTTTCTCTTTAAGGTCAATATTTAATCTTATTTGGATTATGAATGTTTTAAATCTATGGGGAACATTGAATGTCTCTGGTGCCAAGGGGAGGCAGGGAATAGTTTTAAAAGCACTTTTGAAATCTTTTTTTTTCAACGAAGCCAATTTAAAGCATGTTTTAAAGCATGTTGTGCTGATTTTTTCAGCACAAAGACACACAGGCAGGCTTTTTAGGTGCTGAGCAAGCCTCCCCAAGCCTCTTCAGAGCCAGCCGATCAGCTGTTAGGCGGGGAGAGGAGGGGGCAGGAGCAGAGAAAAGCACAAAATGGCTGCCAGGCTCCCTTCTGGGTGTTGGCTTTTATCTGTTTGCTGCTCTTTTTCCTGCAGTTCAGGGGCTACCAAGGCCTGGTAAGTGACTTTCTTTTATTTATTTTTAAGTTTCTGACCTTTTTCCCCCTCCAGAAGCCTCTAAAGGGAGGGAGGGGGCACTTTTTTTCCTGTTCGTAACTCGAGGGAAGTTCGTATGTTGAGTATGTAATTTCCTATCGGGCGGGTTCGTAAGTCGAAAAGTTCGTATGTAGAACTGTTCGTAAGTCGAGATCCCACTGTATGTTGGGGGTGACTGTAGTATAAAGCAGTTTGACTGTTGAAATGAAGTGCCAAACTGTGATTTGCCTCGAACTTGGGGAGTGGAGAATACTAGTCCCAAATGTTGTTAAAAATATGTTCATGTGAGACCATTTGTTTTTACTTCTGAATTAGTCCAAGAAAATCAGATACCCAAACTTTTATTGTGATATATATCATGCCAAGTAGAGGTGTGCAATGTGAAAATTTTGGACTTCAACTCTTCTGGGAATTTCACCTGATAGTCCCTCATGTACAGATACCTAAATATGGTTCACCTGGCAAAAGGCCTAGCTGGAAGTCTTCATGGACTAGCTTCATAGCCTGCTTCCTGTTTGATATAGAAGTTGCCGGGTGAGCCACATTCAAGTATATGTAGGTTTGGGTCTGTCAGTTGAAGGTCAAAGAATCTGAATGGCACACCCCTAATGCCAAGCTAGTCTCCATCATTTAAGATTAATTGAAAACATAATTCTGTTCTCCAGCTTCACAGGCAGTTCTGCTCTTACATCATCTAATTACTGAAAAATATTTTAAAATCTTACTGTTTCTTATTGTGTCTGCAGGATGTCAGTTGTCCAATAAGGCAAGTACCTACTGGTAAAAAGCAGGTACCTTTGAATCCGGATCTCAGCCAAATGAAACCAGGGAACTTTCCATCACTTGCAGTTTCCAGCAATGAGTTTGAACCCAGTAATAGCCATATGGTGAAGTCTTACTCATTATTATTCAGAGTAACTCGTCCAGGAAGAAGAGAATTCAATGGAATGATAAATGGTGAAACTAATGAAAATATTGGTAAGTGAACATGAAGACTATTGTGGACACGTTTTAAAAAATGGAACAGTCAAGGAATGAGTGGGTGCTTATTGCCTAACAATATTGTTCCCTAGCAGGTACCTTTGAATCCGGATCTCAGCCAAATGAAACCAGGGAACTTTCCATCACTTGCAGTTTCCAGCAATGAGTTTGAACCCAGTAATAGCCATATGGTGAAGTCTTACTCATTATTATTCAGAGTAACTCGTCCAGGAAGAAGAGAATTCAATGGAATGATAAATGGTGAAACTAATGAAAATATTGGTAAGTGAACATGAAGACTATTGTGGACACGTTTTAAAAAATGGAACAGTCAAGGAATGAGTGGGTACTTATTGCCTAACAATATTGTTCCCTATACTGTATTTGTGAGGGCATTTATCCACCTTGCTCTTGTTTGTCAGTAGTTCTGAATGCTTAACTTTGCACTGTTATAATAAAGTGCTTCAAACTAGCTGGCATGCAGTAGATGAAACCGCGCAATCAGTCTCCAGCATCAAGGGCAAAAGAGGAAAAGAAAACACAAGAATAATTAGATATTGTACATTATTGTATTTGATTTTGTATGATAACTGTTTTTAGGCTTTTAGAGTCTGTGTTGTGGATGTAGGCTTGTGATATAAAGGAATACAGACATTGATGTGTGAGAATTTGTGAAAAGGTATTAAACATTATACTTGGAATAAACCTGTAGCAAGAAAAAAGCTCTCTTCACATACATGAATTCCACAAAGAATGGAGTTGGGGTGGAGTGATGACCCAGTACTTGTTCATCAGCTGTGTCCTCATAAAGGTGATAAATGCATTCATGTCAGTGTTGGAACTGCGAACATGATCCCACTTGCTCCTTCCATATATGCAAAACAGCAGTGATAGTTAATGAGCAGGTTGAGATCTAAGTCTCTTTTGGCATATGAATTTTCACTTCACATGGCCCTGACAAATCCAGTGTCTCCTGAAATATTGCTGCTTCCATTCAGTAAGACAATGTTCTATACATACCAGTTGCTAAGAACCAAAATACTGATTTTGCTTACTACCTAGCTATTTGGTGTGCCTGTCATTAATTCTTTTAGTCCTCCTTGTCCCCAAGTCTTTTAGCATGTATGTTGAAGTTAGAAGAGAGCCCGTCATTTTTCTTTGTGTTGTGTTATAAAAAAAGAAATTTCTGTTTCTGGTTTTGGTCATATTGTGGCACAAATGAGCATTTGGGGTAATGGAGGAACTATTATGTCTCTTTGCAGGGACAGTGGTTAATCATTAATTAATATCATGTACATATTTTTTTAAACTAAGGCTATAAACAGATTCTAGCCTAGCCCAACATGGTTTGTGGTTCTGATAAAAATTCGTAAACATTTAGGGAAATAGAACCAGATGGTACTTACGTTGTATGTTCATATAAAAAATCAGAGAATGTAACAAAAAACTTAATAACTATATAAACATTATTGTGTTGATACCGATATGAAATTATTCCATGGAGTTATTAAAAACAATGACTTTATATAGGTTCAGCTCCTCTGCTGTTGACCTTTGCCAGGAAATGGATATATTAACTCCTGTAACCCTGTATTTTGGTTTGCTTAAATGCAGATGTCAATGAGGAACTTCCAGCCAGAAGAAAACGTAATTCTTCCAATCGTGAAGATGGAGAAAAAACCTTTGTAGCACAAATGACTGTATTTGATAAAAACAGGTAATGTGTGAGAGTCTCTCTGAGAGCATGTTTTTTTCCAATTATAACATACCTCTAAATTTATTTAGATTTTAAGTATATTCATAAACATCTTAGTTTTGGAGGAATATATTTCCCAGAGTGGAATTAAGAATCTCTTCATTGCATTTTGAAAGTCCTAATACGTATACATTGCTGTATAAAGGCTTGTACATAAAGCAAAAAAGTATATCTTGGCTGTGGCATTCATATATCAGAGTGGGTGAAATTTCCTTTATGTTTCCATGATTACTCTGTATTTGGCTTCTCTGAGACATCTTAACTCCTTCTTTGTGGCCTCTGTGAATCACACTCTGGGTGATCCGCACATGCGCAGATCCTTTTTGGAATATTCTAGAGCTTCTGTGGTAGCAAAAAGATACATTAGCGCAGATCCCTCCCCCCCTAGTATATGTATCTTAGCGCCAAGGCTCTCCCTTCAGTTTCTTCTCAATCGCCCCGTTGAGAGCCTCGATCCCTGCTTCTGTGAGTTTTTTCTGAAAGCAAAAAAAGTTATTTCCCTTTATTATTATTTCAAAACCTTTTTTGTTACCAATGCTTATTGATTCTTCCAAATCAAGTTCCCCTCCCCCCCTTTTCCAACATAATTCCACTTTTTGACAGTGATACTAAGTGCCTTTTTTGCCTCAGTGAGGCTCATCAAACTTCTTCCTGCTCTCACTGCAAAAACGTAAAGTGCGGAGGTCTCCACAGTTGCCTTTCTAGGCTCAAAATTTGGCTTTGGGAGCAGTGTCTCCAGCCTGCTAAGCCCATGGCCCAACTGTCATGTAAATCCATACCCCATGCTAAAGCCATGGATAAAGCTATTTTCGAGGTGACAAAACAACATCCTTCAGCTACTCCATCTCATTCTGATCACCGAGAACCTGTCATGCCGCCAGCATCAACTTTATCGACCACCATGTGGGCACACAAAGCCAAACATTTGACATCGAAACCCTTGATATTGAAAACAGCCTCCAAACAAAAACCGTCAACCAACGTTTCCTCGGCACCTGAACATTCGCCACCAAAGAAGGCTAAGTCTTAGAAGTTGAAGCCCTTCAAACCCGTCTCCACCCTGACTCCACAACCACCAGAGACCTCATCTTTGTTGGTTCTCTCTCAGATGATGAAGTACTTCCACCTCACAAGTCTTCACCATTGTAGTTTCTCTAATGGGAACAGCCTGTTGACCAACTCATGACTTCTCCTACTTGCCCTCAACAATTTTCGGGCTCTCCTAGTGAGTCTTAACCAGTTGCTTCGCCGGACATCCACGGCACCAACATGCAACTCAAAACTGTGCCTTACTGTGCCCCACTAGGCCTACCACCTTAGCCTCCTGCACATCAACAGAAGCACCAGTTTTACAAAAGCGTCTGCTTGCCTTCTCACACGGACATGGCTTACACTTAGCACCAGCATGCCTTTTGCCCCAATCAGTGCCTAACAGAGAGGCCTGCCAAATACTATCAACCAGTTGTGTTTCCTGGTTTGACAGTGGATGCCAGAGTATGCTGTCCCCACATGCGAACCTTCGGTGTCAAAGTCATCTTACTATCATGATCACTCAGAGTTACCAGGCACCTCCTATCAGTTGTCGCCTGAAAAACCTAGACAAGCCAACCAACACTCTTTGGCTCCAGTCACTTTTGCAGCACTGGCAAGCTATTTTCCTGCCCATCTGGATGACCATGACTGCTTGTCGCGCTTGGTGTCACCGACGTCTATTTCACTGTTATCCAGTGTGGTCCATCAATGCCTTTGCCACCTCGGCAACTGTCTCAACACCGATAGCAACTTCCATATCAACAGCATTGTCGACAACCTTCAATGTCAACAGCAGTTGACGACCCTTGATGTCACCCCCTGTCCCCGACGCACCTTCAACATCGACAGCGCGACATCCACAGCAGTACTTTGAAGACCAACCTTTCAATGTTGATTGACAGTTTATTGACTCACGGCATGACACCAAGCCGTTTGATCACAGTTCCAGACCTCAAACACCATCTTTACTCTTAACATCTCCGTACTCCGACCTAGCAGACACGGACCCTTCATCACTGGTGGAAGACTTTCAACCCTATGCTCAGTTAATGGTTTGTATAGCTAAATCCCTCGACCTACAAATCCAGAGACCTACTACTGAGCTAGCAGATGATCTGTGTGATCCCATCTCTAAGGACACTGCCACACTGGCCCATATCTCCATGCTTCCATCTCTCCTTTGCAGAGCTAGGCTTTCCTGGACTAAACCAGCCTCATCACACACAGTGTCGAAACGTATCAACAACCTCTATCAAATGCATTACCCTGATGCTATCTTTTTGCAAAAACAGCCGGCTCCTAATTCCATCTTTATCAAGGTTTCACAATCTCATTCTCAACATTGACAGGTTCTAATACTGCCTAATAAAGATAGCAGGTGCATCAAGTCTATGGGCAGATGACAATTTTTTTTTTTGCTGCTTTTACTCTGAGGGCCACCAACTATCAAGGAGTTATAAGTGCCTACCAATGCTTTCTTTGGGGTAATACGTCTACCTTTGTGGATGCACTCCCCAAAGACAAAAGGGTCTTAGCCCAGACCTTTCTACAAGAAAGTCTCTCAGTAGCTATACAACAGATGCTATCTGCTTAAACACACTGTCCATGTCACATCAAAATCTGTGGCTACCTCTGTACCACTTCGCCAATTTTCCTGGCTTAGAACTGCTGGTCTTGTGGAGGATGCCTGTGCCCACATTGAAGACCTTCCCTTTGATGGAGTTGGCCTCTTCAATGCCGAAACAGATGACATTCTTGAGAATGTCCAGAAAAAGAGAACAGCTGCCAGGCATTGGGGCATCTACCCCACATACCAACAACGCCCTCAGCACACTCAGTGGCACCGCTCTTACACCTCTTATCAAAAGTTCCAACAAGAACCTCAGAGGCAAACATCCTATGTGCCTTAGTATAAACAACAACCTTACCGAACCAACCTCAACAGCAAACTACATCCATGCACAATGACTGCAAACCTAAACATCAGGTTTGATGTCCAATTGGCCGAGATCCCAACACAACCTCTCCCAATTCCCCCTACCCTCTGGAGTCACTTATTTGAGTGGAACATCACCACAGATGTCTGGATCCTTTCCATCATACGACACGAGTACCGCATAGAATTCCACCTGCCTCATCACACCTCCATCACAAACCCTACTGGACAAAATATAGTCGTTACTCAAAGACGCCATAGAATCAGTACCACTACACCATACAAAGTTTTTTTCTCGCGTTATTTCACTGTTCCCAAAAAATATGGCATCCTCTGCCCTATCCTTGATCTCAGAGAACTAAACCCATATATCACTACCACCAAATTCCATATGGTTACCCTCGAGTCCGTCCTCCCACCACTCTGCAAAATAGACTGGTTCACAGTTACAGACCTCCGAGAGCCTACTTCCATGTCTCTATCCATCCATCTCACAGACCTTACCTGGATTTCCAACTCGGAACCCAGGCCTACCAGTTCAAAAGGCCTCCATTCGGACTTGGAATGCCCCCCCCCGGGTATACACCAAATGCATGGCCCTGGTGGCAGCATAGCTCAGGCTTCACAAGATTCACATCTTTCCATACATCGATGACTGGCTTCTCGTAGTTCACTCCCATCGCGAAGCATAGTGAGACATTCGCCTCACTTTATCTCTCCTCCAAGATCGTGGCCTTGCAGTAAATCTGCAAAAATCCAAGCTAACGCCTCCAAGATTAATCCATTATATAGGAGCAGTTATAGACTCCAAACATGCTCGAGCATTTCTTCCAACAGACAAATGTCTCAATTTAACTTCTTCACTCTGTGTCTTCACTCCTCATGCGCTTGTATCTGCGCTAACAGCCCAATGTGTCTTAGGCACTATGGCCTTGATGACTGCTGTGGTCCAGCATGTCCGCCTCAAAACCAACCATGGTTTCTGGCCTTATTCAACCCACTGACAGACCCACCACATGCTCTACTGCGGGTCACTCCAGAACTCGCCTCTCAGCTTTCATGGTGGCACACCACTCAAAACTTGATGATGGGATTACCTTTTCAACAACCCATCCACAAATCCAAGTTACCAGAGATGCCAGCCTCACCGGCTGGGGTGCCCACTACCGATCACTACAAATCCATGCCCAGTGGTCGCAAAGAGAAAGAATGCTCCATATCAATGAGCTAGAACTCTAAGCAGTGATAAAAGCCTGCAAGGCTTTCAGAAAAAATCGCATTGGCAAAATGGTCCAAAGAGCCACAGACAACACCACCACAATGTACTATATTCTCAAACAAGGGTTAGTCTCCTTTATCTTGCTGTCGACCTGTGGGAATGGTGCCTCGCTCATCACATTTGTCTCACAGCAATACATATCATGACAACAATCTGGCAGATTTGCTCAGTTGCAAAGGATCTCAAGTCCACAAATGGGAACTAGATCAGACTGTCTTTCTCTCCCTGTGCACACGCTAGGGCACACCCACCATCAACCGCTTTGCTTCCCGAACAAACCAGAAGTGTAAATGTTACTGCTCCCACGCAGGAGTTGGCAAGAACTTCTGTAGCAATGCATTTGTCGGCCGTTGGCCCAAATCACTCACCTCTTTCCAATGTTCCCACTTCTCCACAAGGTCATAGTCCTCCTTCAGCAGGACAGACCCAATGCTATCCTGATAGCTCTGTAGTGGCTGCGACAGCCATGGTTCCCGATTCTTCACGGGCTGTCATCTGATATTTATCACCTGCCCTGTTTGCCTCACCTGCTTACACAGGACAAAAATAAAATTCTCCACCCAGATCTCCTTACCTTCATCTCGCAGCATGGAGGATTCTGCTTCCTTGATGAATGTCCATCATGCACACAAATCCTCAACTAGGAAGGCCTGCATGTATAAATGGAAAAAATTCCAATTGTTCACGGCAGCGTCATCACTACCTTCAACCAAC